TGCGCCGCTTCAACGGTCTCTCCCAGAATAAACCCTGGCAACCCAACGCGCAGGCGCCGAAGCACACCCAGCGTTCTCTACGACTCCGTTCCAAAACCAGAGGAAATCCGGCTCCAGGATTTCCCTTCCCCCTCGCTTCAGGTGGAAGCCGGTCTCCATTCTCGCTCCCTCCATTCATATTCCTTTCTAGGCTCGGGGTCCAGCGCCTGGGGAATTCTTGCGGGGGTCCCGTCCAACCCTGGCAACCCAACGCGCAGGCGCCGAAGCACACCCAGCGTTCTCTACGACTCCGTTCCAAAACCAGAGGAAATCCGGCTCCAGGATTTCCCTTCCCCCTCGCTTCAGGTGGAAGCCGGTCTCCATTCTCGCTCCCTCCATTCATATTCCTTTCTAGGCTCGGGGTCCAGCGCCTGGGGAATTCTTGCGGGGGTCCCGCCCGGTTATTTCTTTTTTCTTTTTTAAAGGCAATATCTTTTTTTAAAAAATTGATTTCAGAGAGGAAGGGAGAGAGAGAGGGAGATAGAAACATCAATGATGAGAATCATTGATTGGCTGCATTCTGCACGCCCCGACTGGGGGGGGATGGAGCCCTCAACCAGGGCATGTGCCCTTGGTCGGAATCGAACCTGGGACCCTTGAGTCCGCAGGCGGATGCTCTATCCACTGAGCCAAACCGGCTAGGGCCCACCATCTTATTTTTCTATTTCTCCGACGCCTTCTCTGGCTGCGGGCTGACTTCAGTCCTACCACCAGGCATTTGCCCCGGCCGCGCCTTCAATGCCGCACAAAAAATCCTCTAACAGCATCGACTGGAAAGGTTCTCCCAGACCTTGTGTCAAATGCTCAGCAGGGTCCCATCTGGCTCTGAGCCTCAGTTTCCCCAACTTTCATAGCCACCCCTCGCCCATGTTGCAGGCCCAGTGCAAGGGTAAGAAGAGTAAATTTGTGTAAGGCCTCAACTTTTATTTATTTTAAAAAAATATATTTTGATTTCAGAGAGGGAGAGAAACATCAATGATAAGAATCATTGATTGGCTGCCTCCTGCACGCCCCACAATGTGGATGTGTCCCAATGCCCAGGCATGTGCCCTGACTGGGAATCGAACTGTAACCTCCTGGTTCATAGGTGGCCTCTCAACCACTGAGCCACACCCGCCAGGCTAAAACTTTTGTTTTTAGCCTGCAGAATGACCTTTTACAATTCAGTTACATTTTTTAAAAATATCTTTATTGATTTCAGAGAAGAGAGTGGGAGAGATAGAAACATCAATGATGAGAAAGAATCATTGATCGGCTGCCTCTTGCACGCCCCCTAGTGGTGATCGAACCCATAACCCCAGGCACGTGCCCTTGACCGGAATCAACCCAGGACTCTTCAGTCCCCAGACTGACGCTTTATCCACCGAGCCACACCAGCCAGGGCTCAAGGACATTTACGAGTAATTGAGTCATGTTGAGAACGCTCTCCTGTTACATCTGTTAGCTTCTAATTGCCCTAATGGTTGTCATTTCCTTGCACTCAGTGATTACCACATGTCCGTAATTAGATTTTTTCCGCCTTGCCTCATCTGGTCCTTGCTATCTCCAGGGTGTCTGTTGCCATGGGGTGCTTTTGCGGTCCTTGCCTCAGGTGGGAATGTGGAATGACAGACCACCGCCACCTCAGGGGCATGTGGCATCCTCACAGCTTGGAGCTGCAGGGGTGAAGTCAGCTGCCTGTGCCCACGTGGGCGGGCGTGTCGGATGCTGGGGTGGAGGAGCACAAGGCTATGGCCACTTTCTGTGAGTGGCGTTAACAGGAACGGAGGTGGCACTTGACCTCCGATTCGTGGATCCTGTAACCACCTTCCACTTATCCTGAATGTGGGGGGAGGAGGGGTGAAAGTAATGGGTCCCTCCAAAGTCCCAGGGGTGCCAGGAAATTGCATAGGCATTAGTCTGGCGAGAGACGGGGCTAGGAAGCCAGTGTACGCACGGGGCAGAGGAACCGGTTTGGGGTGAGCCCAGGTCTGAATCCTGGCCGAGTGAACCTGGCCATGGACTAACCGCCCTGGGCTCAGCTTCCACGCCGGAAAAATGGCAGCGGTCAGGGCTGTTGGTCGCTACCCGTGAAACCCCCTTTAATCTGAAAAGCAATTTATTAAAGAAGGCAGGCAGTCCTTCCCCTCCCCCCGCAAATCTGAGAAGGCTGGAGAGAAGGCTCGGTGCTTTGCAGATGGGAAGGTGCCCCACACCCAGCCAGGGGCCTGTCCCGGGCGCACAGACCAGCCTCCACCCTCTGGGCAGCGCCACCCGCTGTGGGCACACGTGCTCCCTCCCCCTTCTGTCAGTTCCCAGCAGGCCGCAGGGAGGGCTCTGATTGGTGGGGCTGCAGTCACATGACGTGCCTTGCCCTGGATGCTGGGCAAGAGGGCTTCAGCCTTGGGGCCTGCAGTGTGAGAATCCACCGTGGGGGTTTCCCCAGATGAAGAAATCGGCCAGGATGGTGGCCAAGAGGAGTGGGTGCGCCCCACACGCCCCGAGAGGCTGGGAAAGGACAGGCGACAATGGCTCTGGGTTTCCGAGAGCAGCACTTTATTCCCAGGTCCCGCCCACTTCCGTCCCCTCGGTGGCTCCCCGGGTCCCCTCAGACTGAGCCCCACCTCCCCTCCCCAGGCACCCTCCAGGGGAGGTGACAGACGGCTGCAAAGGAGGGAGAGACGCCTTTATTGGAAGACAGTGTGGGTGCTATGGGGGTGGAGTGAGAGCATGGGGGGGTGTCTGAGGGGCCTGTGCCTTTCCCAGGGCCCCTCCAGGGGGCTGAGCAGAGAGGGGCTGGCATGGCGGTGGCCCGGCACCAGCAGGCCCTGCTCTCCCTTGGGAGAGGGCCCCGTGGCCGGGAGGCGAGAGGCCTAGGGTTCCCACGGAGAGGGGGCCGGAAGCCGCCGGGTTCACCGATCCATGCTGTCGTCCGTGGGGCTGGAGAAGCAGGTCTGCAGCAGCTTTTCGCAGAACTCCAGCTCCTCCTGGATCAGGGGCAAGAGCGGGACCCTGAGTGCCGGGGCCGGGCCCTGCCTCTGAACCCCCCACCCAAGACCCCTCCAAACCTGCTTGGCCCCAAGCCTCCCGGGTTCTCCGACCTCTGCTCAGATCCACGGCTCCCTCTTTCTCTTCTCACCCACGTCTGGACTCCTGAACTGGACCCCAGGGTCTCCAGCCTCTGGTCACCCCCGCTGGTCTGTCCTCACATGAGCTCACTCAGCCTCTAACTCCCTGACACCACTCACCCCACTCACCCCACTGAAAACCCCTCCCCCGATACAGACTCCAGCAGCCGGGAAAGCAAGCAGGAAGGGCTGGACGTAGAAACAGACACCTCTGCCCGGAGCAGATGCCGGAAACAGAAAGGAAGGAGAACCAAGTTGGTGGTAAAAATAATTGCGACTCATCACGCCGGGATAACGTGGTTAGGGATGTGCATGAGCAGTTAACAAGAAAGGGAAAAGAGCCAGAACCGGTGTGGCTCAGTGGATAGAGCGTCGGCCTGCGGACTCTAGGGTCCCAGGTTCGATGCCGGTCAAGGGCATGTACCTCAGTTGCGGGCACATCCCCAGTGCGGGGCGTGCAGGAGGCAGCTGATCGATGTTTCTCTCTCATCGATGTTTCTAATTCTCTATCCCTCTCCCTTCCTCTCTGTAAAAAATCAATAAAAAATATATTTAAAAAATTTAAAAAAAGGAAAAAGATGCCCAACTCCACTCGGGAGAAACACAAATGGCAGCTGGATCCACCCATCAGCTTGGAAAAAGGCCCAATGGTTTGGGGCCAGCCTGGCCAGGCCGCTGGGGACCCTTGTGGCTGCACACGGACCGGTGCAACCTCCAGGGAGAGCAACTGGGCAGCCCTGCAACCTCACCTTTTGTTGTTAATCCTCACCTGACGGTATTTTTCCATTGATTTTTAGAGAAAACGGAAGGGAGAAGAGAGACGGAGAGAGAGAGAAACATTGAGGTGAAACACAGACATCGACTGGTTGCCTCCACAGAGCCAGGGTTCGAGCCTGCAGCTGAGGTGGGTGCCTTTGGACCGGAATCGAATTTGGGAACCTGCCGTGCGCAGGCCAATGACCTAGCCACTGAGCCGAACTGGCTAGAGCGTAACTTGACCCGTATGGCACTTTAACTCGGCCTCTCCCTTCCCAGAACTTTGTTCTGCAGACACACACATAGGAAGCGACATACGCGAGGTTCTGTCAGCAGTGTTAGTGCTCAGTGTGGAAACATGTCCGTCCAGCAGGGCAGCGACAGGAGGGGAGAGAGTGTGCACCCGAGACGCCAGGGGAAGGGCGAGGCCGGGAGCACACGGCGCTCAGACAGGCTCGGTGGGTGGCACGCAGGGAAGGAGGAGAAGTCACAGGCACGTGTGCCGGTATGTGCACAGCGCACCCCAGAAGCCACAGGCACCCCGAGAGGCGGGGAGCTCGGGACAGGCTGTGCTCACCGCTTACCTGCGGCTTGTTATCGATGTAAATACCTGAGCTACTCACCACGTGTTACTACCCATACGATTAACTATCTAATGAGCTACCGCTGATTTCTTATCTATTTCACTGGCTCCCGAGCTTGAGCACTGTTATCTAATATCTGAGGAGTTCTTTACCGTGTACTTGTTCCTTACCTACTTAATTCAAGATGTAATTGCCTGCTATTTATCACTTACGTACTTATTGATCTAATATTTAATTATTAAATACTTGAATGCAATGTAAATAATGTGGATAGTGATTAAATGAATGGGTTAGCCCTTTAAGAAACTCCAGAGTCCCTCCTGCTCCCTGGGACAGTGTGAGGCACACGGGAGGTGGCAGGGGTGTTGGCTGCACAGGTGATGGGAGAGACGTGAATGAACATGAACAGCGTGGAGAACAGACCCGGAGGGCGGCCCACCTGGTACTCCTCGTGCTGCTGCAGCAGCTGGCAGCGGTGCCGGAGCAGCTCCTCCAGGCCCAGCTCCGGCTCCCGGCACTCCCGCACGCCCTGGGGGAAGTCCGTCACCAGGCTGCGGGCACAGGAGAGCAGTTCTTGGCACCTCCCTACACACACACACACACACACACACAGATACTAAGCATTTATTTATTTCTTCACAGCTGCGGGCACAGCAGTTCTTGGCACCTCCCTACACACACACACACACACACACACACACACACACCCTGGCGGCCAGGGAAAGACGGTGCCCCACACCGAGCCCCAGTTTCCCCCGCTGCAAAGCGGATCTCTTGGGACTTGCACAAAACAGGGCACTGAGCACAGGGCCTGGCTGGGGCTGCTGCCCGCCTGCTCGGCTGGCCCATCCTGTCATTTTCAGACGCTGATTCACTTGGGCCGTGGCGGGTGGGGGATGACCGCTGCCCGCCCGCTCGGCTGCCCCATCCTGTCATTTTCAGACGCTGGTTCACTTGGGCCGTGGCGAGTGGGGGATGAAAGACAGCCGCCCCCCCCTGGGCTGCTGCATCACTCCCTTTACAGGTGAGGAAACAGGCTCGGAGAGGGCCAGCACTCCCCAGGAAAAAGGAGGCCAGAGCCCAGTGGTGCATTCTGGGAGGGGGCACCAGCCCCGGAAGGTGCTCCCTCGGGGCCCCGCGCACCTGCACAGGGCTCCAAGCACGTGCTCGTGGAAGGGGCTGTGTTCTGTCCGGACGAGGGCCACCAGCTGCTGGACCATCCCCATGGAGCACAGCGTCCCTGGGGGAAGGACTCGGGGTCAGAGGGCGCCCCCCGCTCGGTGCACTCCCTGCCCCCACCACCATCCCCCAGGACCAGCCCAGCTCCTGCCCTGGCCACCCCACCTTTGTGTTCTGGGTGGCCCACCAGCAGGTTCTGCAGCAGGAAGGCTGACTTGACCTTGAGCTTTTGCACCTGCTGCTGCATGGCCCGCATCAACACCGAGAAGCCGTCCAGCCGGAGGAACTGCAGCAACCCAGCCTCCTGCTCCCGGACGAGGCCTGGGGAGGGGAGAGAGGATGGGCCTCGAAGTCACAGTGACCATCATTGCCACCATCACCAACATCACCACCATCATCACCATCATCACCACCATCATCACCATCATCACCACCATCACCACCATCATCACCATTATCATTACCATCACCATCATCACCACCACCATCAGGTGTGGGGGAGACCAGATAACCAGAGCCCATCCTGGCATGTTTCTCCAAAGTCACAGTGACCATCATCGCCACCATCACCACCATCACCATCACCACCATCACCAACATCACCACCATCACCATCACCAACATCACCACCATCATCATCGCCATCATCAATTTTTATGGGCCTGTACTTCACAAGCATTATCTTTTCTTAAAGGTATATATATTTTTAAATCTATTTTTATTGATTTCAGAGGAAGTGGGAGAGAGAGAGAAACATCAACGATGAGAGAGAATCACTGATTGGCTGCCTCCTACACACCCTCCACTGGGGATCAAACCCAAAACCTGGGCATGTGCTCTGACCGTGAATCAACTGTGACTCCTGGTTCATAGATCGATGCTCAATCATGGGACCACGTTGGCTGGGCTTGAAGGTGTATTTTCACTGATACAATTAAGCCATTTAAAGAGAATTGTCCATCTGTTCCCTACCTGGCTCTGGTCGTGGTACCTCTAGGGCACCAAGTCCCTCTGTCAGCCCTTCCCCGCGGAGCTGCCCCGGCCTGTCTGTCCATCTGTCTCCCTGTTTTTGGATGTGACTTTCCAAATTCCGTCTCCTCCAAGACTCCTCCTCTCGCCCTCGCCAGAGCTCCTCCCTCCCTCCCAGAATCTCCTATCCACGCCTCCCCCATCCTTACCCCAGGGAACATAATAAACATAATTGGTCTCTGCCCCCCACTCCTGACACCGAGTCCCCAACTCCCTTGGAATTTCCTGGTGATAGGAGCATCTTTTCTTCTTTTTAAATGTTTTTTAAAATTGACATTAGAGAGAGAGAAACATCAGTGTGAGGGATGCATCGCTGGGCTGCCTCCCTCATGCACCCTGACTGGGACGGAACCTGCAACCTAAGTATGTGTCCTGACGGGGAATCGAACCCACAACCTTCCGGTACATGGGACAACGCTCCAACCAACAGAGCCACCCCAGCCAGGTGAGCATCCTTCTTCTAATGATGTGGGTCTGGGTGGGCTCCAGGATGAGAACCGGTCCCCAGAAAGACCCATCCACACGAGAAACTGAAACCAGCCCCGCCCACGAGCTCCAGCGAGAGGACCATCAACAGGCGGAGGCTGAGACCCGATGGCACCGTCACTTAAGCTGAGTGACAGCCCTGGGTCCCTAGGACCTGGCTTTCCAACCGGCAGGAGGTCAGCAAACTCCCCACCCTGTTCCCAGCACCCAGCACAGACCCGGACAGGTACTGGGGGTGAATGAACAAGGGAGGCCCTGCTCCCTCTGCCCCCAGCAATCCCTACAGGGCCCGCCTCCCGGGCCAGCTCCAGGCCCCTCCCCGCAGCCCGGACACTCACAGGAGATGGCGAAGAGGGCCTTGAACCCGTGGTCCTTTGTTACGGCAGCCAGAGAAAACCAGCGCTCCAGGTGAGGCCGGCGGGGCAGGCCGCTCCCTGGGACCTGCCGACCTGTGCTGGCTCTCTCCAGCACCAGCGGGGTCCCTCCCAGGTTGTTGTGTCGCCACAAAATCAGCATGTGGGGGTTAGGTCCCAGGCTCCAGCCCATGAATGCCAGCGCTGACCCCCACACACCCTACAACCAGCACAGCGCCTGTAGTCGCCGTGTCGCCACAAAATCAGCGTGTGGGGTTAGGTCCCAGGCTCCAGCCCATGAAATGCCAGCGCTGACCCCCCCACACCCTACAACCAGCACAGCCCCTGTGGGAGAACTACACACGGGGCCGGGGTCGGCAAGCCACGTTTGTGTAGATCAAACGTGGATCTCTGGGGAGAGAGTTACCCAGAGTCACCAATGGCCACTCCTAGGAAACCCCCAGGCCTCGAGCGTGGGGCTCAGGCAGAAACGCGGACCCCCGCGTCCACAGCAGCAGAATTCAGAACAGCCAAAGGGGACACGCCCAGGCGCCCGTGGCGGGCGCTCTCCATCCACACCATGGGGCACCAGCCGCCCAAAGGAATCAAGTTCAAGGTGGGCAACAATCTGGAAGGACCCTGAACACTTCACACTGGGTGGGGAAGGCCACATATGCCATGAGCCGCAGCCCAGCCGCACACGCG